AGAAAAATATCCATATTCAAAACGTAATAATCACTTTAATCTAGCTTGCGCCAACAGTTGTACACGGAAGCAGTTCCGGGCGGATGACGTATGAGGTCAGCGTTGCACATGCGCTGGTGAGTCTCGTGAAAACCAACGTTTGTTAACAGGAGCAAAGGAAGCAAAGTTTCCTTACTTTAGCAAATAAAAACCAGTCTCCTCTTGGCTTATATCGAAATCATCCGACATTCTTTTTTATAAATCCTCGTTTTGTACTTCTAATTAGTGACCGTTGTTTAGTTTTGATTTCTCCCCTGCACTTCCGCGTTCGTCACTTCTGAGCGGCGCATGCGCAAAGCTGACCTCATACGTCATCCGCCCGGAACTGCTTCCGTTTACAACAGTGAGCGCAAGCTAGATTAAAGTGATTATTAAGTTTTGAATATGGATATTTTTCTTATAAAAATGCATCGATTCGCTACAGAAGGCCTTGTTCACCCCCCGGAGCCGTGTGACGGTGTGAGACACTTTTTTTTTTATGGATGGGTGTATTTTAATTAAGTGCTTTTGGACTGATGCATGCAACACCCGCTGAGTGCCATTAAACAGCTTGAAAGATCAAAGACAATTTTTAATATAACTCCGACTGGATTCGTCTGAAAGAAGAGAGTCATATACACCTAGGATGACTTGAGGGTGAGTAATTTATGGGCTAATTTTCATTTTTGGGTGAACTAACCCTTTAAGATATTTCTGATGCATCCCATGAGCTCTCTGACCCTCCCATAGACAGCAAGTGTCCTTACATGATCAAGGTCCAGAAACGTAGCAAAGACACCGGTAAAAGAATCCATGTGACATCAGGTGTTCAACCGTAATTTTACGAAGCTACGAGAATACTTTGTGCGCAAAAGAAGAAAAAAAAAACGATTCCATCAAAGATATCTTAATGTGTGTTCCGAAGATGAACGGAGGTCTTACGGGTTTGGAACAACATGAGGGTGAGTAATTAATGACAGAATTTTCATTTTGGGGTGAACTAACCCTTTAAAGGTTCTTTATGCCAATAAAGAATGATTATTTTTAAGAGTGTAAGATGTTGTTGTTGCCAGGGTATTTTCTAGAGTGTTTCTAAGTATTAGATGGATACTAACTGGCCCACATCAAAATATCCCATAAAAGATCCCAAACCTTATATTTTGAGGTGGCATTCATGTCTGTGCAACTTATAGTGCCATCAATAGTAATAGTGATGTTTGCTTTAGCTCTAAAAAAAGATATAAGAGTTTCGGAAGACTAATATTCAACATCTTGCTAAATTTTAGTTCCACAAACCTTGAACTAAACAAGAGTTGGGAACAAATAATATTACCTGTAATACAAAATTGATAGGCTTTTAGGTGACAGAAGTGGCAAAATTAAAACGTTCCTCAGAGAGGACATGCTCTAATGCAGGGTCAGATACTCTTACAGAAAGGTCTACAGGGGCATGTCTGACGGTTCGGACGACATTAGCACCACATGAGGTGTGAGTCACTGTCAATTTAACGTTTTATTGAAGCCCAGGGCAAGTGCAGGCACTCCAATCATGGGCTGAATGAGACTGGTCCAAATCCAGACAGCATTGTGGAACTCAGAACACCAGGACTGGAGATGAGGGGAATGTCTGTTGCCAAGTTAGCGAAATGAATGATAACACAGTTCTCTGCCAGTATGGGACCAGCAAGTGTTCTGACACAGATGGTGAGCGAGGGGTTTTCCTCTCCTCGTTTATTTGTCCGTATCTCTGCGGTGGTCCCAATCATGTTCTGCTGTCCACGGAAATAGCCCACAGCACATGCAATTACACCTTTCCTAAATGAGAAAAAAATTACAGCAGCAGATCTGCGAGGTTAGAGATTATGGGGTTAAATTAGGGACGAGAGAAAGAGATAAAGCGGGAAGTGAAGGAATTAGGTCAGATTCAACGCCTCAAATGAAGGTTTAATTCCTGCAGGCAGAAAGAAAGACAGCCAGTGTTGTGGAGTAACAAAAAGTAGTCATCACAATACATCACAGATACAGTACGAGGCACGGGAGAACCGGGAGAATTCCCGGTGGCCTGGCTGCCAATTTGGCCGGCTGCCCTGTTTTTTTTTCCTTTTCCTTTAAAAAAAAAAAAAAAATTATTATTACATAATTGCCTGCCGAATGTACTAAAGCGATTATTTCCAAATTTGCCATTTGATAATAAAGCTCTAATAAATCATGAATCAGATAGTCGTGACTCACAATGATATTCTTCAGCTCACGCACGGTTTAATCAATGCAAGAGACTCGAGAATGGAGTGGAAGTGCCTAGGTGGGGCAGAGAGGCAAACTACTGACCTGTTTAGGATGTCAAGTGCAGGTCAGTATCATCTGTAAATGAGTAATTGTAGTTTTGTTTTTGTTTAAATAGTTAAGAATTAAACTCCTAGCAACTGTTAACAGTAGCGGCCGATTACTCATCACATTTAAAATACTGAGGGAGCTATGGCAGACAACAACACAACCGAAAATTAACAATGATGTTATGATAAATAAATCCAAAAACAATGGTTACTATTGTTAAACCATGGTAATCACAAATTAACATAACAATGGAATTTGTAGTAAAACTATGGTTACAAATGGTAATTAATTCGCAAAAAAAAAAAAAAAAAAAGAGGGTACTGTTACTATAATAAAACCATGGTTAATTTAGTGTTGGGAAGTCCAATTTATTTGAATGAATACATTTGTTGAACAGTCCATTTTGGTGAATCAAAAAAAAATAAAATGAAAAATTAATAAATAAAAGTAAACAATTTTCTAAGAATTCTAAGTTCTAAATACAGTTTTTTAAATATATTAGCTATATTAAGTCTCATGATGTCACCCAACGCTAAAAAAAGAAAGGTTCTTCATTGGCATTAAGGGTTCCATAAATCACCTTTAACATCATGGAATCTTTCCTTAGTACAAAAGGCTCTTTGTAGAGCAAAAGTTTTTTTTTTTAGATTATTGAAATATTCTTCACTAAGAAAATGTATTATTTTAAAAACTGGTCACTTAAAGGTTCTTTGGGGAACCCATGCATGTTTTTCTATGGCATTGCTCCGAAAAACTCCTTTTGGAACCTTTATAAGTGTAATTGATCTATAAAATAAGTAACTGATCTAACAGTTAAAAAAAAATGTCCTCTTTAATAACTTGTGTTTATCTCTCTTTAGATGATTTTACCCAAAACAACTTACATTGCATTCAAGGTAAACATTTTGCCAGCATGTGTGTTACCCAGTAAACAAACCCATGACCTTGGCATTGGTGTGGTTTTATGAGGCAGACCAAGAACTGCGGGGTTGAAACATAATTAACATGGCATGGGGGTCAACATTTCCTCACATGTCAACATGCAACTTCATCTGCATGTTGATTATAGTAAACACACACACACACACATACTCTCTGATTTAACTGTCTTTCATCCCTTGATTGGTCCAGCTGCCTACGGCCCTTTGCATCTTGCTTTGATTAATTGCAACAACTGATAACTCAGCCCTGATTTACATGTATAGTAGATTAAGTTCTCTCTCAGTGCAGACAGAGATGGAGAGTTGGAACACTATAGAGACATGAAAAATCATCTGTTGCTTTCTGTACATCACTGATAT